GTTTTGGCACAATTACAATCCGGATGGTACAGCCGCCTAAATTCCTACTGGGTATCTAACCAAAGTGGGGTGATATCTCCGGAACTATTTAACCTCTACCTTTTCGGAATTCCTCGCCCTCTAGACGACATCGAGATCGTAGCATATTCGGATGATTGTACGATCATGGTGACATATGTCAGGGTGAACAGCTATCTAGCGGAGCTTGCCGCCTTCTTTCACGAGAGGAATATGAAAATATCCGCCATTAAATCGACGGTCACAATATTTACCACATGGACTGCGGAGATGAGAACACAGATGAATGTACAGGTCGAGGGGCACATAATTCCGACCACTAACTACCCCAAAATCCTAATCCTCATTCGATAGCATGCTCAAGTCTTCCGCGCAAGTCACAGCTGTCTGCGATAAACTGAAAAGTAGGAACAAGGTCCTCAAGGCGCTAGCTGGCAGCACTTGGGGTGCGGATAAGGAAACCTTGTTGTGGTTAGCTATGCATCTGTTTAATTGCCCAGCCAAGCCTACCCAACTCCGACATTGAGGACTAACCGGATTAATCAGTCTATAAACAACGGAACACGTTAACAATGTTATAACAACAACCACCAACAAGGCCAACTCGACATACCTTTTATCCATCCAATGAATTAAGCTAAGACTCAATGACAGGGAAAATTCTGGTACCACTACCAACCAATAAAATCTTATTATTTAATCTCGATGGGGGAACACTTTGATAATTCAAGTGACCATACCAAAGCTTTGCATACAAATCCTCAAATACGTATGGCCGTATTTGAGGTCTTCTCTGCGAGAAATATAATATATAATAAAAATAAGTTCGGCTGGAACGAACTATGCTTTGTACTTCAGTGACCATCATCTTCAGCTCAATTACAGACTTTTTAAGTTTAACCACATCACGCCTTACGTCAAACATACATGTTCATTGTTATCTCATAGACAAAATCAAATTATCCTACAGTTTCCGCACAATCCCACGGCAGCGGGTTCTACGACACCGGACCATGGTTCTGTACGGTTTGCCAAAACACCATCCACCATAGATCAGTCTCGGTGCGATGTAATTGATGCAGAGGATGGGTGCATTTTAGAAATTGTTCCGGTTTAACCCGGTTGCGAGACTATAGCGATAGGGACTATGTTGCTTCGTGCTGCACCAACGTAGTCCCCAGTGAGTCCACGACCTCGTCGTCAACTTCCGAGTCGTCGTCGGAGTATGGAACTCCCCCGCAGTCTCCAGAACAGCAACCTTTACCGCAGCACTTAACGCCACATGTTGCTGTTCCAATTCCGGACAATGCTGTTCTTGCAGTTCAATTGCAACGGACTCCGAGGTAAAATTGATGAGATAGTGGATTTTATGAATCGGAGGAATATCAAGATCGCAGCGGTGCAGGAAACCAAGCTGAATGAAAATTTTAGCTTACAACGTTGCAATGGTTACAACGTATTGAGGAAAGATCGCACCAGAAGTGGAGGTGGGGGATTAGCGTTCCTGATACACCATTCTGTTCAATACAGACCTATCTCGCTTGAGCTAGTCTCTAGTGACCCGTACATGGAGTGTATGGGGGGTAGCAGTCAAGTGTGGTACTGCCGAGGTAGAGGTGCTTAATGTGTATATCCCGCCGGTTAATAGCTGTGAACCGCGTTACTTGCCTAATATAAGCCCACTTTTGGAAGGCAATAACCGCCTGGTACTAGGGGACTTCAATGCCCACCATGAGTTGTGGCATTCCGTCCTAGGTAATGACCAGAGGGGATCAGCGTTGGCAGAGCAGATTGACTGCTCCACATTTTGCACGGTAAACGAGGATGCCCCCACCCGAATAAGAGGAGAGTGTCACAGTTCGCCAGACTTAACCATTGTGTCACCCGGTCTGATAAATGACGTGACTTGGCAACCCGTCATTTCTCTTGGCTCAGACCATCTCCCGATAATCGTCTCCATCAGCAGATCGCCCGATTTCATAACATCTGAACGCCGCACTTTCCTTAACCATGGGAAAGCCCACTGGCCCGAGTTTAGAGAGTTCACCAACCTTCGCTTCAGAGAACTGCCCAATCCTTCTGATGTTCGGGTAGCTGAAAGGATTTTCCGGGACATCATCAAAGCTGCAGCCGCTCGCTATATACCTGCTGGTCGAATACCCGAAGTAAGACCAAATTTCCCAGCAGAGGCACCACTGATCCCAGAGTCAGTGAACTGACAGTGGAAGTCAACCGGTTGGTACAGGAGCATAAGCGGAAAAAGTGGCTAGACCATCTGAAGTTTTGCAACATCGGAACCGATTTGAGTAAACTGTGGGTAACGGTAAAGTCACTCTCGAACCCTGGGAAAAAGGATGATAGGACAGCAGTCACATTTAACGACGTAACTGTGACTGATCCGAAGAGGTGCGCTGACCATTTTAACCGCCAATTTGTGGAGCACCCCGAGAGTGATAGGACGAGGCGAAGAGTACTACGTCGTATAAGAGCTCTTCCCGCCGAGGATGTACCTCCACAGTTTACGATGGGTGATGTTGCGAATGTCATCCGAAACGCTAAGTCATCTAAAGCGTTGGGCCCGGACGGAATATCAATGGTAATGTTGAAGCAACTGGATACGCCGGGAGTTGAGTATTTAACCAAAGCCCTTAACTTGTCGTTAGCCACCCACATAGTTCCCGAAGCCTGGAAAATGAGCAGGGTGGTCCCGCTACTGAAGCCTGGCAAGGATGCCAGCAAAGGCGAATCATACAGGCCAATTTCGCTTTTGTCGCCAGTAGCAAAGACTCTCGAGGCCTTACTCCTCCCCAGTATCAGAGGAAGCTATTCAGTTGCTAACCATCAACACGGTTTCCGTCCACTACATAGCACTACAACAGCATTGCACGCCATATCCACACATATCAGTCGAGGACTCAACCAGAACAGGCCGTGCCACAGAACAGTTGTGGTGGCTCTCGACCTATCAAAGGCCTTTGATACGGTCAACCATGCCACGCTATTCGAGGACGTTGAGAACACTACCCTCCGGCCAAGTTTGAAACGTTGGATAGTCAACTATATGTGTGGACGCCAGTCGTTAGTGGAATTCCGGAATAAGAAGTCCAAGCCTCGTAGAGTGAAACAGGGAGTTCCCCAAGGTGGGGTGATATCTCCGGAACTGTTTAACCTCTACCTTTCCGGAATTCCGCGCCCTCCAGACGGCATCGAGATCGTAACTTATGCGGATGATTGTACGATCATGGCGTCGGGTCCTGTAGTTGATGACATATGTGTCAGGGTGAATAATTATCTCGCGGAGCTTGCCGCCTTCTTCCACGCGAGGAATATGAAAATATCCGCCACTAAATCGACGGCCAAACTATTTACCACATGGACTGCGGAGATGAGAACACAGCTGAATGTGCAGGTCGAGGGGCATATAATTCCGACCACCAACTACCCCAAAATTCTTGGGGTCACATTCGATAGCATGTTCAAGTCTTCCGCACAAGCCACAGCTATTTGCGATAAAATGAAAAGTAGGAACAAGGTCCTCAAGGCGCTTGCCGGCAGCACTTGGGGTGGGGATAAAGAAACCTTGTTGACCTCTTATAAAGCGATAGGTCGGTCTGTGGTTAGCTATGCGGCTCCAGTGTGGTCGGAGAATACAAGTGCAACGCAGTGGAAATGTATTCAGACCTGCCAGAATGCCGCCCTGAGAACTGCAACAGGGTGACTCCTCATGACGCCTGTGGACCACTTACATGAGGAGACGAAGGTTCTTCCCTTACGTCAGCATGCTTTCGTTGCAGTACCTGCTTGGGTGTTATCGCGGGAGTCACCCTAACCACCATATGGTGGATAGAACTCCCCCACCCAGGCGTGTCAGGAAGGACCTGCACGATCTAGAGAGAGAGGTCCAGCGATATAAGAGAGAGCCTCTAGATCATGAAGCCTATCAAGCAGGTCTGAATAGCATTCATACTGATGCAGTCGCAGAGGTAGTCAATAATTACAGTATGAATGCCATACTCGGAGTCCACCCCCCATCCATTGCAGCTGAAGAACGTCGGCTGCCTAGGCAAACCAGGGTAGTTTTGGCCCAACTACGTTCAGAATGGTGAAGCCGTCTCAATTCGTATTGGGCACGAATTGATGAGGATGTGCGGAACACCTGCCCAGCGTGCGATACAGGCCCGCACAACACGCTGCATTTGTTTAATTGTCCTGCCAAGCCTACCCAACTCCGTCCAGAGGATCTATGGCTACAGCCCATAAAGGTAGCAGAATTCCTAAACCTGGACATTGAGGAAGAACCAGATTAGTCAAAAAAAAAACAACAGAACGTGTAAAACTGCTACAACAACAACAGTTTCCGCAAAGCATCGGTCATAAAATTAAATTTATCCGTCCTCAGATCAAATCCAAAATTTCCGAATTTAAAATAAACATAAACTTTGTAGGGTCTAACGTCAGTACTTCGGAAGGTCGAAGTTAATATACCCTCCATAGTATGGTGGAGGGTATAAAAAAATGTAATCTGTTACAATAAATATATCCCTAGGCTAAGTCGACGAGATTCTGGAAACCTAAGACACTCGTTTGGTTGATGTATTAGATTCTGAATATGCCTAACAAATGGGTGTGACAATAGAAAAGGTGAATGAGGAACAACATATGGAACTCCTATGGCACGGAACATCCACCATTATATATTTGACAACATAAAGAGAAAGATAAAGGTACTAGTCTAAGGAGTACAAATCTCTCACTTCTTATATTATCTGTAAATCTCTAAATTAAAGCATATAGAAGACAACATAATCGACGCGTTTGAAGAACGGATTTCTACGAATTGATGAAAACTTTTTAATATAAATGTCAATAACAACCAGCAATATTATTCCCTCAAAAGGGCCCGCATAGTGAATGGATACAATCCTATTTATAATTTCCATATTGTTTTTAATAACAGTGTGCGCTTAGACACAAAAACATACCTTCTTCATCTTCCTCGCTACTGTCTGCCATCGCTTTAAGATTTTTACTTCTTCTCTTTTCGTTTACGTCCAGATCCTCTTCTTCCTGAAAAGACAAATGATAAATAAAATAAATCATACCAAACCAATAATTAAAAAAAAAAAAAACAAATACAGGTATTAAATAATTAAAAGAAATATGAACAAAAAACATGCGAGAATTCAGATTTACATCTATTAGATTTTAATGATATTACAGAAGACAATTAAGAATTCCCTTTGAGAATTTATACGGTGTTGTCAAAATGCAAGATGACTTACGATAAACAAAATCGTAGAAACAAAAATTATTGCACACAAAAAGATCATGAAGCTAATTTCAACGAAATCTGTGTACACTTTTAGATGAAATGAACTGCAGATTTGGTCATATTAATGCACAAAAATAGAAGCAATAACGTTTTTCTACATCATTTCTCAATTGTTGGTTTTAAAACACAATACACAGCTTAATGACTAAATATATAATTTTTCTAATTTCCATTGCAATCGCCTCAATGAATGCTGATATTCTGAAGCCAGGAACTAATTATTATTTAATTATTTGATTATAGATCACGATTTCGCATTATTATAGAATCGCGTCAATTTTATCTCGGACTCAATATTTTTTTCCGAAAGTTCCCACGCCTCACATTCCCGCCCCTGCCGACAGAGGGTGCGACCTCCCTTTGCACAGGGATCGCTGGCACATAATGATCCGCATCATAATGGGAACTTAGTAGGAAATTGAAAACCAACTACAGAATCTAATTCATCAGCTAGTTTGTCAAATAATAAAACATATATTTTAATTGTTTAAAAATAAAATAATTCTAGATTTAATAACTTGTAAACGCATACAAAATTCTACATTACAGTACACAGAATTAAAGTCAACACACATTTTACTAAGATGTTCGCCCATTGAATAATTCGTGCGTTGAAAATCAGTATATAATAATATAAAAATATAGTAATGCGTAAATTCTTAAAAAAAAACTTTTTTTTGGGAAAAAATATCTGCTGAAATAAAGAAACTGATACAAAGAAACAGATATTTGAAAGTTGAAGATCACAGCCAACCCCAAAGTCGTTCGAAGTCGGCATCGCCGAGAGTTTCACATAATACAAACTAAATATTTGATAAATCAAATTTATAATTTTTTAGCGTTCAGAAAAGGAGGTGAAATTAGAAACCCGTTATATAACATTTACAAAAAGTACTAAATGATACCAAATTTGCAATTTTCATACGTTTGATTATGTGCTTTTTGTTTTAAATTTGATTTTAGTTTCACACTCACATTCGTATGACCTCCCTTTAATCGCAAGAGACGTTATGTACGAACGCGTTTTATTTTTCGTTACTAATGAAAGGTGTCTTTTCATAAGTAAAGCAAAATAAATAATATAAAAGCAAACAGCACGCTATTTAAAAACTCAGGAAACAGAATCTAAAAAAAACCTTCTAAAAATTCCTTTTTATTAAGAATTTTTGCAAATAGTTTTTTTTTCTTCTTTACCCTCTTTTTCCCCAAGTACACAAATCGGTTTGTTATAGTATTAACAACAACAAGTGCACGTCACTCTCTCATATGGATGAGAGAAATGTAAGTGAGAACGGGCAAAACGTATACCATAAGTTGACTTCAACAGATTTCAGCTCAATCGCGCCAAAACGTCACGAAAACTGGTATCTTACAGCTAAACCCCAAAGCCGTTCTAAATAGGCATCGCCGAGAGTTTCTCACGACAACAATTTGCCAGGTGATACTACTCCTAACGAAACAAGAGAAATGTCATATAAACAAAATAATGTAAACACGCCCAAAATAAATTTTATAAAGGTGCTATCATACGATGCGATTGCACATCAAGAACCTATCGCTTCAAGTAAGCATGCGTCTCTTGAAAAAAAAAAAACAAGAAGCAAAACAAAGATCCTCCAGGTCTTAGAAACGAAGCGAAAGGCTAGTTCTAGAACTCCAACCAAGAAACCAAATGCTAAAACCCAAAAGTATATAAATAATGACCGCAACAACAGATTCTCAATTCTCGGCTCGAATAACGAGACTTATGAAATAATACAACTGGTTAGATCCCAAAAACCTCCCCCACTATATCTTCGCGAAGAAACTACAAACAATATCGTGAACAAACTCTCCCAAATGTTTAGTAAACCTAATTTTCACGTGGTATCTCTTAAGAGAGGAAATCTCCAAGAGACGAAAATACAAACTTATACTGAGTCGCATTATAAGGACCTAGACCGTTCTCTGAATTCTAAGAAGAAGAATTATTTCACCTATCAGATCAAGAGCTCAAAAGGACTAGTCGTCGTGATTAAAGGGCTTCATAGTTCTACACCCATAGAGGACATAAAAGATGCTCTCGCAGCAGAAGGATTCGAAACAAAGTCTATCATCAACATTTTCAATAAAGATAAAGTTCCGCAACCTATGTTTAAAGTAGAACTAACATACGAATCTTCGCAACTAAAGAAAAAGGCTTCTTTCACTGCCTTTACACGGTGCAATTTTTAGCTGGCATTTTTATCAATTCTCTTTTAAAATTTCTGCGTAAATCTTCGCGCCTTTACACGGTGGCATTTTACGATAATAGTGCTTGGAATTTTTTCTGACATTTTATTTTATTCCGTATTTCGTATAGAGCTAATTGTTTGTAACAGATATTTATAAAGAAGTGATTAAAAATTAAATGTGTGAATCTAAAGAAGAAATGATGGAAAAAGTTATTGAGGTGTCAAATATTGCATCACATCACAATAAAAGAAACGCATCAAAAATTACAATAAAGAAACGATATGAAATGTCAAAATCATAAAAAATTCGGAAGAAGCAAAAAGAGAAATGCAAAGAAAATGGCATGTAACCCTGTGCGGTGGCTTATCGTGCCGTATTTTCTTCTATCCTTGTCTCTCCACACCTTTTACCAACAAAAAAATGGCATGGTTAAAAAATGTCACCGTGTAAAGGCAGTGTTTGTAATCGCGGTGTGAAAATAGAAGAACCTCAATGTACAAACTGCCAAGAATATGGGTATACCAAAACGTATTGCAAATTGTTATCGGTATGTGTTACTTGTGGTGACCTCCATAAATCATCGGAATGTCCACATCCCAAAACTGACCCAAGCGTTGCGGTGGAAATCATACTGCAAACTACAGAGGATGTCCTGTATATATCCACTTAACAAAATCTAGCTTAGCCACAAAAAAGCCTGCAAGCTACCGGGTACGGGAAAATCCACAATTTAATATCAAAACAACTGAGTTCCCTGAGTTAAAAAAGAGGAATGAAACCACCGCTCCTAATTACATTCTCCCCTCACAGAATATACAATACTTATATTCTGATACTGTGAGAAATAACTCACCCAAGCTAATCGTCACCATGAATTCTTTTATGACAAGTATGCAAAGTATTATGCAAGAAATTGTGAGAAATCAATCTATGATAATGCAAATAGTTTTAAAACAAAAATATATAAAATTCGAATCTGTTTTTGGAACGCAAACGGCTTAAGCCAACATAAACACAAGGTCGAAAACTTTATTCACTCACTCAACGTACACATTTTACTGGTGATAATTTCTAATAAAATTCAGCATTACCCCATGCCAGAATATAAGTTTGACCGCCTACAAGCTGCAACAGTTGCACTATCTTTAACGAATGCAGCTATATCTGCAATATATTGTCCTCCGAGACATAGTATATAGAATAAACGGTTACAGTACATACGACACTAAACACCCTAGTGGGAGAGCTTGCGGTGATAATTTCTAATAAAATTCAGCATTACCCCATGCCAGAATATAAGTTTGACCACCTACAAGCTGCAACAGTTGCACTATCTTCAACGAATGCAGCTATATCTGCAATATATTGTCCTCCGAGACATAGTATAGGCAAAGACGAATTCGCTCACTTTTTCTTATCTCTTGGTAGTAGATTTGTTGCAGCTGGAGATTATAATGCCAAACACACCTTCTGGGTATCTAGACTTATTACATCCAGAAGTAGACAGCTTTTAAACTCCATTTCGTTCGCTAAACTGGACGTGTTATCTACTGGCCAGCCTACTTACTGGCCTTCAGATCTACAAAAACGTCCTGATTTAATTGACTTTGCGGTAACAAAGAATATTAAGAGGGAACAAATGTCCGTGGTACCCTCGTTTGACTTATCGTCAACCATTCCCCAAATATAATAAAAATTTCCCCGGATTATCTACCAAATAAATATACAAACTGGATGAAGTACAAAAAATATGTCAGTACAAATGTGAATTCTAACACTTCCCTAAAGTCCGGAGAAGAAATTGACTGAAGGAAATATATGGCAACCCTCATTAAGCAACATGAATGCTGTTGTAACTTCTTTCTTTTCTCTTGCATTCATTCTCTCGTAAAACTTCAGTGTGTAAAGAAGCATAAAATATTACTTTTAATTTCAATAAATCTTTGGAAATATTTAAAGAATAAAAACAAAGTTTTATCAGGTTATGGGCCCAGTCCACGCAACACTGGAAAATTGGACGTGAACAGTCGTATGCCAGTGTTATTACACACCCAGTTCCGGTAGATAACAGCGGTATAGGTAAAGGGGTAATTAATCCTGATGTTATGAATATTGATAGTGAGGTTTCTAAGAAAACCTCACAATCTACTCGTGACATACAGGAATTATCATTTCCTTCACTTATCACTAGTGATCGTCCCGAGACTGCTACTGGCAAAACTCAACCTGTCCAAAGATCATTATCCATGGCCCCCGCCATGAAAATGATATTTGCAACAAGGTTTGCACCAGAAACAACGGCCGATGACATAAACTATTATATAAAATCAAAAATTGAGAGAGATTACTTTTTGAAATGTTATAAGCTCCGATCTGCATTTTCTGAAAGTAGATCTTCTTTCAAAATCGTTGTGCCCGACAATATTTTTGTACAGTTGATTTTAAAAGAATTTTGGCCTGCTAGGGCATTTATTAAAGAATTTGTGGAGAGATCCGATAATTTAGCTCATTTGCCTCTTAG